TGTGATGACACCAAACAACTTTTCACTATAAAAATAAGTTTGTGTGCGTTTGTATTGTTATCCGTTATCTTGTCCCGCAGAAAAGTAAGTTTTGCTATTATCCGTACACCTGTTTTTTTTTTCATATTTATCACACAATTGGTAGTCGGTTGTGAAATCACGTAAATAAATGATTAACGACTATAGCTAGAAAAGAAAATCAAACTAATATTATCGGAAGTAATGAAAATCGAAAATACACAAACAAACAAACAAAATGAATCGGATAAAAAAAACCAAAATTTAAGAGAAGTAAAACCTTTCAGTATCATTGAGTGTGTGTAGTGTGCACCTTTGTCGAGACTTTTCACATACAGAAGAAACAAAACTAAATTTACGTACGCATAATGGGCTCATCTGGCCTACGTTTGGTTCCACTAGCTACTAACGCATTTACTAAATAAGGGATGTAAGCAACAGCGACAGGCTCTTCACCAACACGATCATAACATATAATTCGTGTTGTGTTGTAAGATTCAACATTTTGTTTGCCGTTCCTTGAAATGCGACAATCAAAACGGCGCGTCGATAAAGACTCCTCTTGCAATGGCTGAAAGTTGAAATAAGCCTTGCAAAAAGGAAATACATTAATACCATGCCCAGTAATCCGTTCACTCAGCGCATCTATCGAAGACTTGAGATAAAAACTTGTTAGACCCACTTGCAGTGCGAAAGTTTCCCACATTGGTCTGTTTTCTATGTGCAAGGGGTACAAAAACAAGTTCGATTTTAAGACAAATTTCATTTTCGTACAATTTACTCGCCAATGCTGAATTCTTAGGTGGTTAGCGGACTGATTTATTGTTTTTTCCTACAAAAGGAGTTTGAGAATATATAAGTTATTCATGGACTTTGCAACGCGTACGCATATGGATTACAAGAATGTGATAAGATTAACTGATCCCTCATGTTGATGAACGTTCAGACGTTCAGAGCTAGTGTACTTAAACTAATGATATTATCTAACACTAGAGTCATTGTCACTTACATTGGCTACGCAAGAACCAAATTGTGATGAAGATAAAGAAGGTCTGGTAATGTTCAGTGTTTGGTGCTAATTTCGCTTCAGCCCTACTAATGTTTGCGTCATATGTTGTGCGATGATGATTTTGTTGGGTTAATGGACTATCACCGCACTATGTGCAAAGCGTAAACCAGGACGATTCGTTACTGTTTGAGCGAATTCATTCAATGTTGACCCATATTCGTAATGCTTTGCAGAAAACTGTACCTGCTTCTAGGAGAAACTGCTCATACATGAAAGATCGCCTTTCAATGCCTTTCGATTTTAGTACCTATACCGACCAATTTCTTTATTTCGCAACTGCCAACCGCCAAGTCCCTTAAAGTTGCGAAAAACGTTATGTATTAAGACGTGTTTAACGTAGCCCGGGTTTTGCATTTTTCCAGTGGAAAAAATGTACTCAAAACTGCTAGTGAAGAATAGCCCTGCGTTTCTGATGTAATAAAGTTTCAGATAAAATGTTACAAGAAATCATTAATAACGTTGCAAAGCACACACACAGTTACACAGTGCAAATATAGATTAACGTAAAGATTTAATTGCGTATGAAAAATATGTTAAGTTTTGATATGAAAATGTTCAAGTTAAGCTCGACCGTGTAGCAGAGTAAGAACGGACAAGGAAGAGAGGCACGGCACTCGAAAATACTGAAAGGAAATGAAATTTCTCGTTTGGAGCAAAATAAATGACAAATGTACCGAAATATAAACCGAAAAACCTCATTAACATTGTATGGCAGCATTTTGTAAATTCTCTGTCTACATGCAAATCCCATTAAAAAAATTACACGAAACTCACGGATGTACTTGAGTACGTCATTATCAAAAACTTATCGCACATGCATTTAAACTGTTGTTGTATAGAGGAGAGAACATTAAAAGGCAAAACCAAACGAGGAAAGCTTTTTATTATATATATTTCTACGTAATTTAAAAAAACAATTTTTTTAATTTTTTTTTTTTTTAACTTATCAATAACATCATCATAATGTTCTCTTTCTTTTCATACTCATTCGTATCATTCTTAAGCGTACATTTTTCAATTTTTTTTTTTTTTGTTTTTTTTTTTTTTTTTTGCTTTCCAATGTACATACTGAACATGATGTAGGAATATATAGGCCTGTCCTGTCAATGGCATTGACACACCGACACATAAAAACCTCATGTGCACTTTCACTAAATTCATTCTTTATATGCACTGCAACGTACACATGCACTTGTGAATGTCACGCGATAGGTGCGGAACGCGTAAATTGGAAAGGTAATATAGCAATTCCATATTGCTATAACTATATGTATAGGTGTATAGCGTAAGGTTGCAACTGTCACTTTTTCAAACAGACAACTTGTGAGCCTCTTCGTTTGTACTTGCGTAGCAACCTTTACAACTTTCGTTGGTATTTTGCGTACACTTGAGGATGACAGAGCGCAGGAAAGCAGTGCATGTTAATTGTGTCGTCCATTATGTAACATTTTGAAATCAGAATTTTCAGAATCTAGTAGGCTGCGTATGTTTCGGATTAGCAAAAGCTCATTTTCGAGTATCCCGTGCTCAGCAGCTTTCTTTTAAATTTAAAAGAAGGGGTTCAGTTCTAAATTAAAATAAATGGCCGTTAAAAAAGTTCCCGTTCTAGGCAATTTTAAAAGTTTTCTTTATTTCTTTTAATTCGTTTACGCAATGTTTTTTCATATGTGCGTGTAATTGTGCTCATCTGCATGATTACGCCACCTTTTCGTAACAGCTGTAGAAAACAGTGCACAATGTCAAGAGAATGACACTTACGTTTAGCTATTCATGAGTGAAAAATTTTATTTACCTTCGTTCAAACTTCCTCTTCGCTTCTTCCAATGAGTTTATGTGTGTAATGATTCGCTCGCTTCATGTCAAAAATGCAAGCGTAATAGCGCGTCAATGGCGTGTGTATGAGGAATTACCAGCACGTGTAGGCGCATCTGCAAGTTAAACAAAAAAAAGAAAAAGGCGGATTTTCTTGCAACGGCATTTGTGAACGCCATAGTTCTCAAATCCTAATGACTTTCTAATGATGTGCAAATGCATGAAATAGTTTACCTTTAAGACAGAAAAAGGTAATGACAAAAAGTTGAAATAATTTTTATTTCATATTAGATCATAAAGGAGGAGGGAGGCATTTCTCAACAGTTGATAATTTAATGAAAGTAAACTACGTCACTCAGGTTCGGATGACATTTAACAGTGAGAAAAACTGTCGATAGAAATCGCACTTTGGTGGCGTTTAAACGGATGAATTCATTCGTTGCTCACAATGGTCACACAACAAATTTGTTGCTCTACTAATCCTGATTGCTGCTTAGCTATATCAGTGCTGAACTACAGTAGCCAATCTTCTCAATTTATTATCATCGAGCGTCGTCGCGGTAAATGTAGATATCAAATTAAATTTGAAATTAATTAAAAACAAAGAATTGGCACAAGAGGCGAAACTTGAATTTCATTTCCCTTTGACTCTAATCCGCAACGTGACATACGTTCACAGTTCCCATATATATCCCTGTGTCTATGCATCACCTTCATTAGCATTGGAAAGACAATAGCAGGCGATCGACTACAATTTGCAAAAATTGGAAAACGGAAAAATGTCTTCTCCGCATTGGTATTCATATTTTCATGCACGTCACGTCTGTTTCCAGCGCTGAGGGCGTCCCCCGACAGGCTGAGTAAGTAAGAATTGCGGGCAACAATTCAGTGCGTCCATGGGGTTCAAGTTTCAATACGGAGAGTCAGCTTACAGCTGAGGTTGTATTTTCTTGGTATCACTGCCGGTGTCGAGTAGAAGAGGCTTGAAATATTATTGCTTTCTAAAGAAATGTTTGCTCAAATCGTATAATAATTGTCCGTAAAGATTACCTATTTTGGTTAGTAGCCAAGATTTATTTCAAAATGAATGTGTAAAATTTCTTACCAGGTGGGATATAATTTCTTCTTGATACTGCGACCATCATATTTTATTAGTGTTCAATAAATTTTATAAATTAGTTATCGAAATAATCGTTCGTAGGTCGTAACATGTCGTGCACTTTCTCCAGAAATTCAGAAATTTGGCTCTTAATAAATTTGGACAACTTTTCGCGAAGTAAATGGTTCGCTCGCATTACTTTTCTCCTTTACACTTTGGTGTACTTGTAGTGCTACCACTTTCAAGTCAACGAATATTGATAAACTGATCAAGTTTGATCATTGTAAATAGAATACTTGCATAAGGTATTCGATCAAGAGGCGATCACAAATTATTGATAAACTTTGTTTGAAATATGAGACGAGGAGAACCCCAATCAGGGAGCGCAGACGCGCAGTTGTAGTGACAAAATAAACTTACCCTTATTCTATTGAAGCGAACACGAAAATTTCATAGCATAATAAACACATGGATTTAAAATATAAATTAGACATGAATAATAAATAGCTAAACCGTTCATATGCGGATCTCTCTACACATCCGCACATTTCAATAATACATTTAAACAAACTCCCAAGTAATTGCATATTAAATCATATTCAATTGCTTAGATACGCTCGCTCGCTCGTTCGCTCGTTCGCTCTCTCGTACATGCTCATGTATTCACGATATGTTTACAAAAGATATCATTTACACCTGACCGAAGCCATTATAAAATTTGATCTAAAGTCATTGATATGCCATCGAATTTTATGTGCGTAAAAATGTTTATTTGCAATAAAATACTTAGAGCTGGTTTTTCATGTGAAATCAAATGGAAATTCAGTTTCTTTTTTTGTTTTATTTTTTGCAAAGATGTATGCAAATATTTGATAATTGTACATATGTGTATATGTATATATGTTTGTGAATAAGTCTAATGTGTTACAGTAATCTAGTTGATAAAATAAATATTAATTAATGAAATTTTGTATATTTCATTTTTCTGATCATGCTCCTCAGGTGCTGCAGGCGGTAAATTTCAATTTTCAATAAATTTTATATAATATTTTTTTTTTTTGCATTGTTAATTAAAAATGCCATTTATATAGACTACTTTTCTTAAAATCAATTTTAATACTTAAATAAATGCATCTTTACCACCACCACCACCACTACCACCACTACCACCACTACCACCACCAACTTTAGTGTCAATTTACAAATTGCATCTAAAGAAAAAAAAAAAAAAAATTGTTTTAATAACAATAAAAATAAAAATTAGTCCTCATCAGATACATGGTACTAATCAAAATAAGTTATTTTCTTTGTTTTTTTTTTTTTTCATAAATTATAATTTTCGAAATTCCAAATTTAAAATTTAAAATGAAAACAGAAAATTGTTTAAAATTCCTATTCCTGCGCAAACAGTACTTACTTACCCTTAATACGCTAATGCACCTAAATAATTGCAATATTGCACTTAAATGCATTTAATTTACATAAAGCAACAGAAATATGCTTAAGCATTATTAAACTATTCTACATAAATATGTATATATATATATATATATATTTTTTTTTTGTTTTTTTTTTCTTTTTTTGAGCCATATTAATAATAATATCGCATGTAAAAGCAACAATATCAATAATTCACTAGCTATCTCCAATGGCTAATTAATGCTTAATGAGTTTAGGAGAAAGAGGTTTAAATTTAATATTCATTGGTAAAGTTTTTGAAAAGGAAAACAAACTTTAACACAATTATTTTACGTAAATCTTATCGCTATTTCATCCACAATATTTTATGCATTTTATGCTTTAGATATAAGTTTAATGCGATTAACCCGAAAGAAAGCAACGAGCTTGCTGCATCTTAACGTAGCAATTAAGGCCGCCCTGAAATAATGCTAGACCCACATTTTGTATGAACGATGTAAAATGAAAAACTGCATTCGACTACGCAGGATTATTGTCTTATTTAATAAACGACTCTTCATTGCGCCACTCGCACTCCGGTCGACTGAGCCGAAAGCTACTATGTTGAGTCATAAAAACTTGCCAGGATTCGGTCACCGGTCATTGATGTTCATCTAGACATTTATTTTAAGAACGGTTCACGGTTTTGGAGCAAATAAAAAAGAGAAGCCTTAATATGCTGTTAGGCGGCAGAACATCTGGCTTCTGTGTGGCATCTAAAAACTCAAATGAATATAACTCTTTTACATACTTTCCCTTTAACTTGACGAAGAAATTCTACTTAGAAGTCTTTTCTTTCATGATGAATAAAATTAGTCTACATATATATGTATATATATATACGTATATATCGAATTGAGATTTTTAAAAGAAACAATTTTCGTCCATTCTTCTCAATAATTTTAGGGTTTTTGCCGCAAAAACAATCTTCAATTAATTCCCACAAAGCTTAGAGCTAAATAAGTCGCATTTCAAGTCAAATATTATGCCTTTAGAAACTATTCAGTTACTTGAATTTAACTTCAGAATGGTTTTCCCAATTAGGAGTATTGAGGATTTCAAGAAGAAAGAAACGGAAAGCATTTAAAAGGATCTCTAAAAATTACACACACAACTGCAGCCACTGATAATTAACGTCAATAAAGAACACCGAGAAACACTGGCTTCGATTTTATATACAAATCTTACAACTTTTTCGATTTGTTTGCTTGAGCTTCACTAACTTATCTCAGTTTTGTTTTCACTATTCTTGTGTATACATACGTATATACGTATACATACATACATACATACATACATACATACATACATACTTTTGTTTAACATTGAATTGATTTTTATGATTAACGTTGATTGGAATTTTTGTTCGAATTTTAAGTTAGTTATCATTCTGTCATGTGCTTGTGTGACTGTTAATCCATAGGTGGTTTAAGTCGTATATCATTCATGACGAGAATGATTAAAACATATCTAGTAGTAGCTTTCGCTCGCAATAAAAGCCTTTGCAAGCAAGCGTTCGGAAACACCGAATGCTTCTGTTTTGTGCTAAAATTCTCGTCCTATTAACAAACTTTTTAGCAAAGGCATTGAGCCGAATTCCATCATTTAGTAATTTTCCGTGAAAGGAAAATAAAGGCGGATATATTCGTAGCTTACTAATACTAAGCCTTTCTAGACCTAAGCCTGTGATGTGCAAGTTTAACCAAATCGATCATATATTGTTTGACAATTAGAGCTACTTTTCGAAAACGGGCGACAGTCTGATAGATGATATTTGTATTATCATACAAATGTTGCGCGTTTCGGATGTGATGCAATCTATACTTCTTTAGACGGCTCTTTCGCTACCGGAAGAAATGCGTGCCTGCGAGGTGGAGTGCATCATTGAATTAAAAACGATACTCAAAAGCGAAGACTTGAGTAATATGGAACACTGGAGCCGGATAACTGAGAAAAGCTCATGGCTAAATAAAAAATAGATAACACTTCCGTCGACGAGACGTTTGCCTTTTTATTGCAAGAAATCCTAATATCTTAGGCAAACTTTAACCAGAACAGCGTACATGAACATGGCACGGGTGTGCACAGACTAAATTGAAAGGAGTTTGAAAAATTTCCAAAGTTATTAGAAGACGGTATCGTTTCAGCACTACATAAAAGACTTGGACAGTTAGTCACAGCAATAATAGAATTGTAAACAATGCATGCCAAGAGGGACGAACGGATGTAAATTGCGTTCGAAAAACTTATCGATAAGAATAAGAATGGCAATCCGATCTCTAAAAACCGTAGTCATAGTTCCGCTAAAATGCAATATAAGAAAATAGTAAAGGAAACTAACTTTGAAGTTTTCTTCTTTTTTTTTTTTTATTTTTTTTTTGCTTGAAGTTCTTGACTTAGGCCACGTCCATCTGTAGCCGTCCTTTTGCATTATACATCTATATATAATAGCACGAACAATGAAGAAATGAAGAAATATTTTACATTGCATAAAAAGTCTTCCTTATAGCCCCCGGAAGGCACCTAAACCACTATATTACATGCTAATGATTGCAGAAACCTTTGTACTCCTATATTCTTGAAATCTCTTGCCAGAATCTTCTTATTCTTTCTTTCCTTCATTTTTCGCTAGTCTTATAAGCAAACATTCTTAGTAAAAAGCAAAAACAAAAAAAAGAACTTTTTCCTTCTTACACTTATTTCCTGTGTTCACGCTTTCACTTGTAATAATGCAATAACAATTTTTGTTCAAGTTAATTTTATTATTTTGTTAGTTTTGCAACTTCCTTTTCCTCCGGCATTCTTTTTAACTGCTGTAGAGATTGTTTCTCTCTTTTGTTACTTTACACAAATTTTTTCTTAAATTGTTTATCTTAAGCTTAAAAGAGAGCGGCTGTACAAAATTATTTCTTTTGTTGCTTTATATGAAAAAAAAAAAAAAAACAAAACTAAAATTAATAACGGCATTCGCGTATGATCGCAAAAAAGAAAAAAATAATAATAATATAAGATTATCCTTAAATATTTTTAGTTCAAAATCGCAAATCGATAATACCAATGAGAATGAGAAACATCGCGAATGCCATATCTCGTAGTATTTAAAATATTTATATTAAAATTCTGATTATTTTCTTCTTTTTTTTTTTTTCTTTCTCTACTAAAAATGGATTTTTATATTTTTTCAATTACATTTTTCGTTTCACTAACTAATTTTTGCCAATTATGTTGAAATGCTTCTTCTTCTTCTACTACTACCACTACTACTACTACTACTACTACTTTCTTCTTCTACTACTGCTACTGCTACTACTACTACTACTTCTACCATTACTACTACCTCTTCTACTACTTCTTCTATAACTACTTCTTCTATATTTTCAATACTACTAACAACCATACCGCAAAAAATCCAATAAAATCTATCCTTCAAAAAAACTCAATCTGCGGATATTCAAATACAATTAAAAAAAAAAAAAAAAAACCATCAATAACTACTACAACAATAACAACAACATCAACAACTACTACTATTCCAACTACATCTTCTACAATAACAACTACAACATCTACTAATTCTACAACAACAATAAACAAATAAAAACATCACAACGCTATCCACAATGAGGTAAAGTATAATTTTATTATTTTAAGTATAAATACCTTTTTGTTTTATATTCTCTCTCTTCAACTGGTTTTTTTTTTTTTTTTTTTTTTCATTTTATCTTCTCTAACAATTTCTCTGTAACAGGAAAAGTTCAAACTTGAAAAAACAAATAACAACGATATTCGAATTCAAAAACTTTATCCACAATAGTATGTAGTTTGTACTCTGAAAACAACAAAAAAAAAAAAAAATAAAGTATTGTTTTTGTTGACACTTGGCGGCGGTACACTCTTCATGATTTAGCGGAACAGTAACTGTCCGCCATCATGATATGCATACACATCATTGGATCCATATCTTCACATTTAACATTAAAGTGTAATTGTGAAAACTTTGTTGCGGAGGCAAAGATTTCAATGCGTCAAATATTGTCAGATTTTGCTCGTATTCAACGCTACATAGAAGTACTTTAGCGCGCATCGAATCTGTAAAACTTTTCTTCAATTGTTTGTACGCCGCTGTTTTACTAATTGGTTGCGTGATTGTTTAAAAACGAGTCGCGGTAAAAACTTACGAGGAGCTCTTCCAACTTACTTCACGTTGTGCTCAACAGCAACCTCAGCATTCATTATAATTCACTACGTCGTTAACTGAATGAGAAAGAAGAGTGCAGTAATATGGCACCAGGCAGATGCAACTCTGATTTCAATATCGCTATGTCCTCTTTGTCAAGCCAAAATTGTGGAAAAAATTGAACATGTCTCATGCTAACGGAAGCATATTATTAATCAAGCGATGGCGATGAAAGCTGCTTTCAGGCAATGCTAACCAGTCATTCATTAAATATATACTTATATATATATACATATATATAGGTTTATAGGGGAAGATCACAATTTCAATTTCTTCTTATTGTTCAAAAGCATCTCTCCAACGCTTGTATCATTTCGAA